AAAGAAGAAGAATAAGAAGAAGAAGAAGAAGAAGAAGAAGAAGAATGCGAATACACTTCTTGTTGACGCTGTTTCCAAGGCGATCTCGTTCGATTTCAGTCAAAATGTACCGACAGCATCATAGCAGCCAGCTTGTCGTCCCCACAACCACCTTCGAGCTAACAGGTCAAGAAAACTGGCCGGCTCATTCGTAAATGTTGTGTATAAAGCCTAAACTCGTTTGTATGTTTGTGTCTATGCGCCTCTGTGTATTCGTGTCTGTACGAAACACAACTTTTAGTCTCAGATTAATTAAGTGTGTATGTGTGTGTGTGTGTAAGTGTGTTAACGTCTGTACGCAATACCAGTGCTAAATCAGAGTTGTTTCAAAAGCTGCATGTCATCAATTGGTACCGACCCAACAACAAACTCTCACCGAGATTGCGTAAGTGCGCAAGTCTGTCTGGTTGATATGACGAGATGTACGCTTGTATGTGTGTAGGTCAGGCCACGAAAAGCCTCGTCGTATAATCCGTCCATCTTGGTGCACTGTGGTTGAATGACGAAGAAAGAGAGAGAGAGAGAGAGAGGCATGAAGAAAAGTTGGCTTTCGAGGAATCTTTGGTTGCGTAATTGTTGAACTCATTTCCATTTCGAGTGAAAGTGTTGGGAGTGAAGAGATTCGAAGCTCGGTCGGATCCAGCAGAAGACGACCAGCTTGCCTGGAATATTCATGCGGACGCTGTTTCCGAGGCAATCTCGGCAACAAGACCAAGTTGCTAACACGAGGTCAGCCCTGTTCTGTACATCGAAAGGAGGCTATACCATCTTCCGCTGGTGAGGACAGTTTAGATGGTTTCCCATTTTCACTTGAACGGACTTTGGATAAAATAGGAAATCGCCTTTTTGGATGTTATGGTGATTATGGAAGATGTTTACAGGAAACCAGCATATGCTAATTTTGTTCTTCATTTCTGATCAAAGCATAGTTGCAAAACTAAAGCTGAAAATGTAGGTACTTTGATCATTAGCAATGCGAGGCTTTAGGATGAATATCATCTGACTGAAAGTTTTATTGCTGGATAATAATTCTCCTTTGGGCTTAATTTATAATAATAAATCTTTTAAAAGGATAATAGATTAGTTGGCCAGTGATTGGCAGACGGAGAGAGACCATTTCTTATGTTCTAATCTTGCCGTCATGTTTTCTTGCTAAGAAGATAGAAGAACTATTGCCGAAGGGGTGGATAAAGACGGTTTTTAAAGAAACCGACACTTTGATTATGAGTTCTGTTTGGAGAGAACTATGACCCACGATCAAGATCCGGCTGCTACGAGATTATGATCTTCTGCAGTCGACCTCATGTTTGTGAGACCTGTCAGCCGATCCGTCAAAGATTTGCGGAGCATGAAAATGCTTGTAAAGGCGGCTGGGTCGAACAGTTGCAAGTGGCGCGTCACATGACGGAGACGGGACATGAGATTAAATGGTCTGTGAGGCAGATCTTTCCTGATTATGGCATCACCGACTCGAAATGTAAGATAGAAGTAGTCATTGAAATAAATAAATTAGGCAGTTTCTGGCATTTCTGACTTGGCTTTCACGATTTGGTCATTTCGTCCGCGTGGTCTGAACTAATGCACCTCGTTCGACGCCCTCTGCCCCAGTAGCCATGACGTGTTGTAGAGTCTGGCTTGGTGCACTTTCGGACAGTGTTCGAGGTCGTCAGGACAACTAAAGCAAGTTGGTGAAATGAGATCAGAACAATTATATACAGCTCTAGGAGACTGCGAGCAGAATAGTGGCCAGACCGTGTTGGTCTTAATGTTTTCTGCGAGGAAAAGTTGGGTTTTGAGGACTGTCTTGTTTCACAATTGTTGAGCTTACTTCCATTTCGAGGGAAAGTGTTGAGTGAAGAGATGTAAGGGCTGGTTTTCTTGACTCGTTAGCATCAATTTGGTTGTAACGATGGTACCTTGCTTTGATGATGTTCGCCATATGACGGAATCGAAGGAAGAAAAGG